GAAAACGCGTTGTAGGAGGGATTACTGTAGTTCTAAAGAAATATTATTATAATTTATAGCATTGGAAAAAAAATATACAATTTGGTGTGAATATCCTGACTGATATCCTGACTGATTACTGACTGATTGAGTTTTTTGTTCTTAAATATTCTACTCTTGCTCTGGTTGTGGCAGACCATTAGGTTAGATTCTTGCTCTATTCTGAACTTATGTTTATTTGTATATTTACTAAATATATTCATTTCTTCGTATATTCCTGACATATAGATATAATTATATGTAGCCATAAACACTAATTTTTTATTGACCTGCCGTTTGGTGTTACAATTAAACGCAGCCAACCCACAAACGCAAAGTCATATTAAAAACAGTAATGGCCAACGTAAGGCGGTAAGATATGCTAATTTCATGCATGCAAGCCACTACGCATGCGCGTTTATTTCGTCTTAATAACTTTCGAAATTGCGTTTGAACAATAATGAAGGAAAAAAGTGCAGACGGGGAAAAATTTTTAGATTTAAAACCACTTAACCGTAACTTTAGCTTTTGACAGTTAATGGGAACGCAAGGCGATACCATGAAGTTCCAACAGCAATTCACTTTTAAAGTTAACAGAACCGACAAGTAGCAAGTGGCAAGCAAACAAATGCTCACGAACCAGCCTAAATAAAATATCCTGTTCAGCGCTGCTCTGTGAACTCGCACCCAAAGCCTAGTCCTTAGCCGGAAGTCCGACAAACCCGGCGCTTGATGCTTGTGTAGCGTGTTAAATTTTCATTTTTCGTGCGTGGCGTAGTTTGATTTCTCTTTATATTTTTTTTTTTTTTTTATTGTAGCTTTGCCTCTTATTGTTTTGGTTTTTTGCTTAATTATATTTGCGTGTGCATACATAATTTTTTGATTGAAGAAATAAAAACAAAAGAGACCAACAGCCAAAAGAACATAATAAACTTCAACTTTTTCAAGAAACTTAAAGGCTACGAAAATCGCATAGTTGTCAAGTGGCAGTTCTGACCATAAAACTTAAAGGCGAAATTAAGAATTCAAAGTTAATTTGGCAAAATCTATTATAGTAAAGAAATATCATAACTATTATTATTAATACAGTCAGAGTTTTAAACCGTCTTGAAATAAAAAATAAATAATAACAAAAATCCAAACAAATATGATAATGTTGATATGCTCAAGAATAACTAAACCCACAGCAAAGTAACAAAACTCCAAAATGTTGTACGAACATAAAAGTCAAGTACGGTGTTGGGTCAATTGGTTAAGGTGCACTGACTCTGAGCTTAAAATTTGGCAGGACACGAGTTCGATTCCTAGTACTTGTGATCTTAAAAAATTATTTACAAAACAATTAAATACAAGAATTATTTTTAAGACCACTGATGATAAGACCACTTCAATAAATTAATAAAAATAATATAAAATGAATTTTTGTTGTTGTAGTTCATTACTGTTCGAAAAACTTGTTTAAACCCAGTAACGTAAAAATATTTGGCTTAATGTTTTCTTTCTTTTTTTTTTTTGTACAGTAGGTGGAGAGCATTAAAAGTCAAAGTGTGAGTATGAATTCATTAAAACTACCTCTTAGGAATGCGTTGAAAAAACCTGAGCCGTCAGACTTGCAGGACATCTGGCTGATATCGTATTCCAGTAATCAGGGCAAAAAATTTAAAGAGCTTAATATTATAATTATTATTGTTATGGGAACTGGCACTACGACCATCGGGTATAATGTACTCCCTTTTGGGTTTAGAGTAGACCTCTAAGCTCTGCTGTGTCAATAAAAAGTGGTATAGAACCTACTTTACAGAGTTTTATGGCATCTTCCGTAAGAATATACATGCCTTGGAGCCTATTTCGGATGTGCGTTAGCGCAGGGCATTCTAACAGCACATGAGTGACTGACTTCTCATTCTCTTCACAGAATCTACAGTTTGCATTTGTATGTATAACCAGTCTTGTAAGGTGGTATTTTAGTTTACAGTGCCCTGTTAGGATTCCTGTGATGATTCTAACTTTTTCTTTTGATTAGTTCATACAATCCTGGTATCTCTTATTGTTATAGGTACCAATAATTGATTAGGATTGTGTTAATCCTGGTATATTATCCCAGCAATCCTTTTTATACTGGTTCTTCCTGATTCATATGAGAGAAAGGAGCGTACTATATTCTAGTCCGCAAAAAGGTTTCGGCCCCATCATCGGTGTGGCTGTTCATTTTCTGACTAGTTTGTCCGCGTATTCGCTTCCGCTAATACGTCCCCGTACCCACAAAAACGATACCTGTTTTGATTGATCGAATCAAATCAAGGAGCTTAGTATTTGTGTTTACAAATTTGTCTAAGCCAGGAGTGAGAAAGTTATGCATTAATAATGGGAGGTACATACTCTGTGGAGCGGATAACGATATCAGTGATTGTACAACGGAATTAAGTGGGAGGAGCGATCCATCTCATCGAAGTAGAGAGCAAGGAATTGGGAAAACCTGTGGAAATGAACTTGGAGAAGCTCAGTGGGAGCTTGATATTTATTTTAAATGAAATAAAATAAAAATAGCAAATTTTTAAAACGAAAATAATAAAAATGTCAGCTAAATTTATATATGAAAAACTATAATACGTAACCTTACTGATAATTGCGTTATGAATTTTATAAGAGAAAGTCCTGCATTTGGGTAGCACTTCAATGAACGTGGACTGCTCTACATTTCATTTTAAACTTACGCTCTTTAATTTAAATTTGAAAATATTTAAACTGTCTCCTGATATACTATCTCCGCTTAGATTAGTTTGCGTGGAGATGGCCCGTGTTGGTACAGATATCATTACTCTTATTCAGATATAGCTATTGCACACAATTCTTTGTTCACAAATTGCCA